CCCCAAAACCCCAAAACCCCAAAACCCCTGGAGAAGGAAGGGAGATTGAAAGTTTTTAGTGTGATTTTAGATGGGTGGTTGGGGATTTTTAGAGTAAAGAGTGCTTATTAGGACGTATGTTTGTTGTATCTGGTTTTAGTTGCGTTCTTTTGGATCTTTGGGAGGGTTTTGAAGGCCGGTAGAAATTTGCTCACACTCATTCTGGTCTCTATCTCTTTGTCTCCTTTCAGAAATTGAAGAGCGGGTTGAATTTGCTCGATGTGATAATTGGGATACTGTATTATCAATAGTTCTACTCCTATCATTGGCAGTATCATCAATAACTTGGCTTCTGTTATTATGGGCTCCTTCAAAAGTAAATCTCTCATAAATTAGAGCCCTCTTTTCTTTTTCATTTATGATCTTCATTATTCTTTCTGAATAATAGCCTTTCTCTTTAGAAGACAAATTCATAAAAATCTCTAAACAATTGACTAAAGATTTTACCTGAGTTTTGAAATTCTTCGTCAAAAGCAAGTATTGTGTCTAAATCTGCATCTGAAAGGATGGCTATAATAATACAGAATGTAGGCTTACCTATTTGTTCATCAGTATTGCTTCTTAACTATAAAGGCGAATTATTAAACCTGGATTGATGATCTTTAGGTGAAACTTAATGGAAAACGTTTGTCAAGGATTTTGAACAAATTTTTAGTTATTAAAATTTAAGGTAACTTACAATTGCTTGACGGAAAATAAAAGGAATTACTGAATTTTGTGATACTATAATTTCTGCATTGGGATTGAAGACAGATTCTAAGCCCTTAATATTCTCTTCTTTTCCATAAGCTCGAAATAATTGGTCTTGATATTTTCTGAGGTTCTCTTTTGCTTCTTCATTAATAGGCTCTTGTAGCATTTCTGATGGTTTATTTTGTTTCTATAAGGAGTCAATATGAGGAAGTCTTAAGACTCACCTTTAGGTGGTTCGGTATACACATTTTCATAACTTGGATCTTCCGATGTGTCAGGCCAACTTTCCTCATTAGATTCACCCTCCTCCGGTGAATCCGGGTTTGGGATCTTTATAGGAGGATAATTTTTCAAGTCTTCTTGAGTGCTTGAGGCTACTTGATCTTTGGAAGTACCTGAAAGGCCAAGAGAAGATGAGTCATTAGAATGAGTTGTGGCAACCGGACGAGAATCATCTTCTGCTGGTGAGGTCTTGTTTGGATCATCTGAGTGATTTATAGGAGGTTGATATTTTGAAGAATCTGTATCATTAGCAACATTTGAGCGATTTAAAAGTATTGATACACCTTCAGAACTCAAGTCTTTAGAATTGAGAGAATTGCTTTCAGGATTCTCACTATCAGTATTATCTTTCTTGCTAATAGCAACTTCATTATTTCTCGAATTGGGACCAATAGCTTTTTCAGTCTGATTCTCACTACTAGGATAGTTATCTCCTTCAATTTTATTCTTCTCCTCTTCATTATCTTTCCCCTCCTGTTCCTCCTTCTTTTGAATACCCAGATCTATTTTGATTTCCTTCTCCTTTTCATTCGCTTCTTTCTCGTTCATTTTCCTTAAGTTTTATAAACCCAAGTAAAATCCTCCCATAAGGGGTTTTGGGGTTTTGGGGTTTTGGGG